AATTGGGTGCAGGAAGACTGTGAGTTATTGTCACAGGAAGGCTGTGTGTCCTGGACCATGAAGAACGGCAGGCTTGTAGCTTATTTGCTTCTTTTTGCTTTCCCCTGCTCCCAGCAGCCTGTTTCCCTAATTAGGACTTCACAGTTTGCAGTGCTGTCAAATTAGCTAACCAGATACAATGGGAATCAGGTTCTCATTCTCTCTTGTGGCCTGTTTTGGGACTTCATGTTGAAATCCTGTCGTCAGAACCTCTCTCTCTGTCCCTCTCTATTTCTCTCTTTCTCTCTCTCTCTCTGTCAACAGACACTGTAAATTACCAGTGACTGGTCAATTGCCACTATTCTTTGTCTCCTTCCCTCCTGTCCCTGAGTTTGGCTCTCTTACCCAAGCCTGGCTTTCATATGACACTGGATATATGGAGAATGAGGCTCTGCACTGTCACTGCATTTCTGTTATCTCTGTCTTATCAGCATTGTCATTAACTATAAACCACAAGGGCTCAAGGGATCCTCCTGCCTCAGCCTCCTGAGTAGCTTCGATTACAGGTATTCTGATACCTGAAATAGGTAATACATTAGCTGCCTATATGCTATTCATGCCAATTCATTTGTCTGTAGTAATTAAGGCCTAGCACCTTAGGTGAATGAAACATAGGCCAAATAAGCTTTTAAAATAACCATTTAAAATAAAACAAGTTTTATTAGTTGGGTCGTTTATTACTATCAATTTTCCAAAGTTTTAAAAGTGTTCTGGATTCAAGTTTCTACTGGAGAAATGCCTTTTGAGTTAAATATAGGGAAAGCATTCCATCTTTTAGTGTTAGTAGGATGTTAGCTATAAATTTTTTGTAGCTAAGCTTTATAATAGGTTGAAGAAGTTCCTGTCTCTTCATGGTTTACTGAGAGTTGCCATTTTTCAAAATTGTGAATGAGGGGAGTCAAGATGCCCGAAGAGACACAACTCTGGTGCACAACACCCAGTGAGAGAGAGACAGAAATCCAGAGAGCTCCTAGCTCCAACTGAGGTACCAGGTGCATTTCAGCGGGTCTGGTGGTCTGGTCCGATGGTGAGCAAAGCCCAGGCAGGGCAGACTGAAGTGGGGAGGGGTGCCGCTTCACCCAGAAAGGGCATGTGACTGGTGAGTCAGAGGCTCCCCCTCTGGCACTCTGGTACAGATAGAGTGTTTCCCCCAAAGCCTCAGCAATACACAGAACAGGGGATCTTTGCCAGTCAAGTGCTGGGAATAACAAGTGCAGAGTTGAATAATAACAGGACGATGTCCTGGATTGGCGCACAGATCTAAGCAAAGGCATAAGCCCATGAGCAGGCAGGGAGAGCCTGTGGACTGAGCTATTGCCCACCCCACACCACCTGGAGAGAGAGGGAGCTGAAATCGGGGAGATGGGTGGTGCAGCTGGGTGATTCCCTACCCTCCCCCACAAGCCCCAGAGGGCTGAAGCACTAACTCTAGCGGGTTACACAGCCAGTGCCATAGTCTGAGGTGAACCCTGAATGATCCAGCCCTGTGGAGGAAACACAACCCACCATTAAAGAGGCGGGGCTAGGCTTCATGTTTTAATAGAAAACACAGGAAGCCTACTTAGCAACGGGTCAGTGTTCTTGACCACCCAGCAGTGCATCCAGGTCAGCGGAAGAGGCAGGCCTAATCTCCCAGTGTAAACAAAAAAGACACCGGAAGCTTACCTAGTAACCTGAAGGAGTCCCTAGAAACCCAGTATCGCCTCCACAGGCAGACAAGCAACCTCATCAAGCAGCTCCCTGAAATCACAGGCAGGTAAATCCAAAAGATGGGAAAAAACCAGAACAAAAAAGATGAAACCATCAAAGACCAGAACACCTCTTCTCCTTCAAGTGATCACAACTCCTCAACAACACAGGAACACTACTTGACCAAGGAGTGCAACCAATTGACAGAAACAGGCTTCAGAAGGTGGATAATAACAAACTTTTCTGAGCTAAAGGAATACGTCCTAACTCAATGTAAAGAAACCAAAAACGCTGAAGAAAGGTTAGACGAAATGCTAACTAGAATAACCAGCTTAGAGAAGAACATAAATGACTTGATGGAGTCGAAAAACACAGCAGGAGAACTAAGTGAAGCAAACACAAGTTTCAATAGCCGAATCGATCAAGCAGAAGAAAGGATATCAGAGATTGAAGACCAACACAATGAAATAAAAAGAGAAGGCAAGACAAGAGAAAAAAGAGTGAAAAGAAATGAACAAAGCCTCCAAGAAATATGGAATTATGTGGAAAGACCTAATCTATGCTTGATTGGTGTACCTTAATATGACAGGGAGAAAGAATCCAAGCTGGAAAACACACTCCAGGATATTATCCAGAACTTCCCAAGCCTAGAAAAGCAGTCCAACATTCAAATCCAAGAAATACAGAGAACTTCACAAAGATATTCCTCAAGAAGAGCAACCCCAAGGCACATAATCGTCAGATTCACCAGGGTTGAAATGAAGAAAAAAATGCTAAGAGCAACCAGAGAGAAAGGTCAGGTCACCCACAGAGGGAAGCCAGTCAGATTCACAGCAGGTCTCTCAGCAGAAACCCTACAAGCCAGAAGAGAGTGGGGGCCAATATTCAATATCCTTATAGAAAAGAACTTTCAACCCAGAATCTCATATCCAGCCAAACTAAGCTTCATAAGTGAAGGAGAAATAAAATCCTTTTGGACAAGCAATTACTGAGAGATTTCATCACCACCAGACCCGCCCTACAAGAGCTCCTGAAAGAAACACAAAGCACAGAAAGGAACAAGTACCAGCCACTGCAAAAGCACACCAAATGGCAAAGACCAAAAATGCAATGAAGAAAACGAGTCAGCTAATGGGCAGGAAAACCAGCCAGTAACTAAATGGCAGGATCAAATTCACACATAACAATAATTGAATGTAAATGGCCTAAATGCCCCAATCAAAAGATACACACTGGCAAACTGCATAAAAAGTCAAGACCCATTGGTGTGCTGTATTCAGGAAACTCATTTCACATACAAAGACACACATAGACTCAAAATAAAGGGATGGAAGAATATTTACCAAGCAAATGGAGAACAAAAAAAAGCAGGAGTTGCAATCCTAGTCTCTGATAAAATATACTTTAAACCAACCAAGATCAAAAGAGACAAAGAAGGGCATTTCATAATGGTAAAAGGATCAATCCAACAGGAAGAGCTAACTATCCTAAATATATACCCACTTAACACAGGAGCACCCAGATACATAAAGCAAGATCTTAATGACATAAATCGAGATTTAGACTCCCACACAATGATAGTGTGAGACTTCAACACTCCACTGTCAATATTAGACAGATCAATGAGACAGAAAATTAACAAGGACATCCAGGACTTGAATGCAGAGCTGGACCAAGCAGACCTAATAGACATATACAGAACACCCCAACCCAAATTCACAGAATATACATTTTTTTCAGCACCACACTGCACTTACTCTAAAATTGACCACATCATTGGAAGCAAATCACTCCTCAGCAAATGCAGAAGAAGGGAAATCATAACAGTCTATCACACCACAGCACATTCAGATTATAACCCAGGATTAAGAAACACACTCAGATCTGCACAACCACTTGGAAACTGAACGACCTGCTTCTCAGTGTCGACTGGATAAACAATGAAATGAAGGCAGAAAGAAAGATGTTCTTCAAAATTAAAAACTTACCAGAATCTCTGGGACACCTTAAAACAGTGTCGAGAGGGAAATTTATATCAAAAACTGCCCACATGAGAAACAAGGAAAGATCAAAATTGATACCCTATCATCAAAATTGAAAGAGCTAGAGGAGGAAGATAAAAAAAAACTCAAAGGCCAGGCGCGGTGGCTCACGTTTGTAATCCCAGCACTTTGGGAGGCCGAGACGGGTGGATCACGAGGTCAAGAGATCGAGACCATCCTAGTCAACATGGTGAAACCCCGTCTCTACTAAAAATACAAAAATTAGCTGGGCATGGTGGCGCATGGCTGTAGTCCCACCTACTTGGGAGGCTGAGGCAGGAGAATTGCTTGAACCCAGGAGGCGGAGGTTGCGGTGAGCCGAGATCGCGCCATTGCACTCCAGCCTGGGTAACAAGAGCGAAACTCCGTCTCAAAAAAAAAAAAAAAAAAAAAAAAAAAAAACTCAAAAGCTAGCAGAAGACAAGAAATAGCTAAGATCAGAGCTGAACTGAAGGAGACAGAGACACAAAAACTCTTCAAAAAAATCAATAAATCCAGGAGCTGGATTTTTGAAAAGATCAACAAAATAGACCATCAGCCAGATTAATAAAAAAGAAAAGACAGAAAAATCAAATAGCTGCAATAAAAAATGATAAAGGGGATATCACCACAGATTCCACAGAAATACAAACTACCATCAGAGATTACTACAAACAGCTCTGTGCACATAAACCAGTAAACCGGGAAGAAATGGATAAAGTCCTGGACACTTGTACTCTACTAAGACTAAACCAGGAGCAAACTGAAACCCTGAATAGACCAATAACAAGGGCTGAAGTCGAGGCAGCAATCAATAGCCTACCAACCAAAAGAAGTCCAGCTCCAGACAGGCTCACAGCTGAATTCTACCAGATGTACAAAGAGGAGCTGGTTCCATTCCTTCTGAAGCTGTATCAAACAATACAAAAAGAGGGAATCCTCCCTAACTCATTTTATGAGACCAACATCATCCTGATACCAACCAGGCAGGGACTCAACTAAAAAAGAAAACTTGGCCGGGCGCGGTGGCTCAAGCCTGTAATCCCAGCACATTGGAAGGCCGAGGCGGGTGGATCACGAGGTCAAGAGATTGAGACCATCCTGGTCAACATGGTGAAACCCCGTGTCTACTAAAAATATAAAAATTAGCTGGGCATGGTGGCGTGTGCCTGTAGTCCCAGCTACTTGGGAGGCTGAGGCAGGAGAATTGCTTGAACCCAGGAGGTGGAGGTTGCAGTGAGCCAAGATCACGCCATTGCACTCCAGCCTGGGTAACAAGAGGGAAACTCCATTTCAAAAAAAAAAAAAGAAAACTTTAGGCCAATATCCATGATGAACATTGATGCAAAAATCTTCAATAAAATACTAGCAAACCAAATGCAATAGCGCATCAAAAAGCTTATTCATCATGATCAAGTAGGCTTCATCCTGGGGATGAAAGTCTGGTTCAACATATGCAAGTCCATAAACATAATCCATCACATAAACGGAACCAAAGACAAAAACCACATGGTTATCTCAATAGATGCAGATAAGGCCTTAGACAAAATTCAACAGCCCTTCATGCTAAAAACTCTCAATAAACTAGGTATCGATGGAACATATCATAAAATGATAAAAGCTATTTATGACAAACCTACAGACAATATCATACTGAATGGGCAAAAGCTGGAAGAATTCCCTTTCAAATCTGGCACTAGACAAGGATGCCCTCTCTCACCACTCCTGTTCAATATAGTATTGGAAGTTCTAGCCAGAGCAATCAGGCAAGAAAAAGAAATAAAGGGTATTCAATTAGGAAAAGAGGAAGCAAAATTGTCGCTATTTGCAGACTACATGATGGTATATGTAGAAGACCCTATTGTCTCAGCCCCAAATCTCCTTAAACTGATAAGCAACTTCAGCAAAGTCTCAGGATACAAAATCAATGTTCAAAAATCACAAGCATTCCTATACACTAATAACAGACTTAAAGAGAGCCAAATCAAGAATGAACTGCCATTCATAATTGCTACAAAGAGAATAAAATACCTAGGAATACCACAAACAAAGGATGTAAAGGACCTCTTCAAGGAGAACTCCAAACCACTTCTCAATGAAATAAGAGAGGACACAAACAGATGGAGAAACATTCCATGCTCATGGTTAGGAAGAATCAATATTGTGAAAATAGCCATGCTGCTCAAAGTAATTTATAGATTCAACACTATCCCTATCAAGCTACCTATGGGCCCCTCTCATTCACAGAACTGGAAAAAACTACCTTAAACTTCATATGGAATCACAAGAGAGCCTGCATGGCCAAGTCAATTCTAAGCAAAAAGAACTAAGCTGAAGGCATCACACTGCCAGACTTCAAACTATACTACAAGGCTAGAGTAATCAAAATAGCATGGTACTGGTATCAAAACAGAGATATAGACCAATGGAACAGGACAGAGGCCTCAGAGGCAACGCTACACATCTACAACCATCTGATCTTTGACGAACTTGACAAAGTACAAGCAATGGGGAAAGGATTACCTGTTTAATAAATGGTGTTGGGGAAACTGTCTAGCCATGTGCAGAAAGCAGAAACTGGACCCCTTTCTGACACCTTGCACTAAAATTAACTCCAGATGGATTAAAGACTTAAACATAAGACCTAACACCATAAAAATCCTAGAAGAAAATCTAGGCAAAACCATTCAGGACATAGACAAGGACTTCATGATTAAAACACCAAAAGCATTGGCAACAAAAGCCAAAATAGACAAATGGGATCTAATTAAACTCCAGAGCTTCTATATAGCAAAAGAAACAATCATTAGAGTGAAATGGCAGCCAACAGAATGGGAAAAAATTTTTGCAATCTACCCATCTGACAAAGGACTTATATCCAAAATCTGCAAAGAACTAAAACAGATTTATAAGAAAAAAACAAACCCATTCAAAAGTGGGCAAACGATATGAGAGACACTTTTCAAAAGAAGACACATATGAGGCCAAGAAACATATGAAAAAATGCTCATCATCACTGGTCATTAGAGAAATGCAAATCAAAACTACACTGAGATACCATCTCACGCCAGTTAGAATGGCGATCATTAAAAAATCTGGAGACAATATATGCTGGAGAGGATGCGGAGAAATAGGAACACTTTTACACTACTGGTGGGAGTGTAAATTAGTTCAACCATTATGGAAAACAGTGTGGCAATTCCTCAAGGACCTAGAAATAGAAATTTCATTTGACTCAGCAATCCCATTACTGGGTATATATCCAAAGGATTATCAATTGTTCTACTATAAGGACACATGCACATGAATGTTCATTGCAGCACTGTTTACAATAGCAAAGACTTGGAACCAACCGAAATGCTCATCAATAATAGACTGGACAGGGAAAATGTGCACATATACACCATGGAATACTATGCAGCTATATAAAATGATGAGTTCAAGTCCTTTGTAGTGACATGGATGGACCTGGAAACCATCATTCTCAACAAACTGACAAACAGAAAATCAAACACCACATGTTCTGACTCATAGGCGGGTGTTGAACAATGAGAACACATGGACACAGGGAGGGGAGCATCATACACTGAAGTCTGTGGGGGGAGGAATTAGGGGAGGGACAGTGGGGGGTAGGGAGTTGGGGAGGGATAACATGCGGACAAATGCCAGATATAGGTGATGCGGATTGAGGCAGCAAACCACATTGCCATGTATGTAACCTATGCAACAATCCTGCATGTTCTTTACATGTGCCCCAGAACCTAAAATGCAGTAAAATATGTTTTTAGATATATATATAAAATGCCAGTCTGGGGAGATGCTCTGTGGAAATAATGTGATATAGGTCAAATGGGTATGGAGCACTTGGGGAGTTAGAATACATTTATGAAAGGTTGTTTAATTTGGTTAATTATTTTTCAAAATTATTTGATCACAGCATCATTTTCTTACATGACACTAATAAAATCCTTCCAAACTAAAATTATTTGGGATACATTTAGAGAAATATATAGATATGGCTAGTATCTAGTAGGTACTAGATACATGTCTGGCTTTTGTGATCACATAGATACTTCTTACTTATAAAAGTATATTAAATTCCTATTTTAGTAAGTCTTTTTTTTTTTAAAGAGCAGTTACCAAATTTTAACATATCTTAATGGGATGACCATGGTTTTCATTTGCTTCTCCTGAAGTGACAAATGATATTAATTCATGGATGTTATTTTATAACAAAGCTGCTATCAATTTGTGTAGAGTTTTATTTAGAATGTTAGATCAATATTTATAGTTGAGCTAGGTCGAAGAGTTTTTTAATGCCTATGTTAGTTTTGTCGGGGTTTGACATTTAGGACTACGGTAGCTTCTGAAATTAATCAGGTTTCTGAGGGAAGGTGTTCTCTTCCCAGGGCCCACAAGGTGGCGTAGTTTTAAGAGCAAGAATTTCCCAGCGCCATGCCCCCCTCCCATCTCTCTCCATCCGGGAGATTTATGTTTGAATTTCACGGACACGGGAAGAAACTAAGAGTCAGTCACTCCAGCGGAAGTTGTGAGAAACTCCTTTCATTGGCCAGGGGTCTTGGAGAAGGTGAGGGTTCCTCCCGGGTTAAAAGTCCCCTCTTCCACACCCCTTCACACTCCAAGTTTGGGTCCCCTTCCACAAGCACTCCCTTCGTGGAAGCCATCCTTCTCTCTCCTGGATTTCCCCTCTGGAGTCCCTTTCCACACTCTCTCGTGGAAGCCTGTCTTCCCCTCCTAAACTCCATCTCTCTGTTCCCTTCCACTCAGTGTGGAAGCTGCTTTCCTCTCCTGGATTCCATCTTTCTGGATTCTCTCACTCAGTGTGAGTTAGCTGTTTCTTTCTCTCTCCTCCTCCTGTTTCTCTGTCTCTAAATAAATCACGTTCTACACACACTTTTGAGTCCGGCATTTACCGCGCATTGCGCGGTGGGCCCCTCTCATTCTTGAGAGGGCAGGGGACCAAGAACCTGGAGAAACATCCTCTCAGGGGAGCTGAGGGCACCCCGAACCCCTGAACCCCAATATTACATTTTGGCGAGCCAGCCAGGAGAGGGGTACAACCCGGAAAGGGGGTACAACCAGGAAAGGGGTACAGCCGGAGAGCACGACTTCAAAATTGTGAGTAAAACCAGCCCCATTCTGTCCTGTCTCTTTAAGAACCCGTGAAGCGGCCGCAGCGAATTAGGGCTGCGGGGAACCTGAGCCGGGGTTCGGAGGCACGACCCAGCCCCCTCTTAAGCAGCGCAAAAGGGAAGTTTTTTTTACCTTCAAGCTCTCTCTCTGCTTTCCGTCTCCTTCTCTATCCTTTGGATATTATCTCTGGGACCAAAACCTGAGGGAGCCTGTGGGGCGAGCGGCGCACAGCCCCGGGCCTTTCGCTCCTTGCCGGCGGGAACAGCCCAGCCTCGGGCAGGAGAAAACAGCGGGGAGGGGCGAGGTGCAGCCGGAGCCTGCGGGGACCGGGGAGCGGCGGCCTGGCACGCGGCTCTGGCAGGCCCCTCCGGCACTCCCCAGTCCCAGGCGGCAGGGTAAGACGTCTCCCCAGGGCGTTTGCCCCGGCCACGGGTCCCTGCGTGGGCAGTAGCTCGGGAGTGGCCCAGGCGAGCAAGTGGTTCTGGCGGGGTCAACATGGCGACCAAAAGCCGCGGGCGCGGGGGAAGTCCCGGCCCAGCAGCAGCTGTGAACGCGGCTCTGACACTGACGCGGCAAGCGGCTTTTTCCCTCAGCTGGTGCTCTGAGGGCGGGGAAGCAGCTGAAGCGGCTGATGGCCATCAGCCCCGCCCGGCTTTTAGGCAGGCCTCAGGGTGCAGCATTCTCATTCAAAATACGGCTGCGGACAGCTTTCTGCCTTCTCCTGATGCCGGGGCCCTTTGCACAGCTGGTTGAGGTGCAGGGCCTGCAACGTCAAGGTTGCTGGTTCAAATTCCTGGTGGAGCCAGTTTTGAATTGGTGAAAACTTTTGGCAAAATTGAGAAGCTGAAGGCGATGGGACTTGGTGTTTGGTGTATGCTTTGTCTTGCTTAGGATTGGCTCGCTCTCTGGCAGAACGTTTCCATCTAGAAGATCATAGTTAAACCGGTTCCAGAGCCAGTCAGTGGCAGGTCTCACAACCTTAAAATCATAAGTATATGATTTGAAGCATATATATTTTTTTTTTTTTGAGACGGAGTTTCGCTCATGTTACCCAGGCTGGAGTGCAATGGCGCGATCTCAGCTCACCGCAACCTCCGCCTCCTGGGTT